GCCACCTGCTGGTCGGTCCTGTGTAATTAAGTTGATCGATCAAGTCATTTTTAAGTGAGATGCTGCCTAAACGAACTATGCTGTACTTTACAGATGATGCGGAATTCAATCTGTACTTGTAAAGCAGCATGGCTAGCTATAGGGGTATAGACAAATGGGGTATATGCTCCAAAACACAGAAAATGTTTGACTTATGTACTTAATATTCAGATTTTGTTTCACTTACCTTGAATATATGGCAACATTTAACATTAAAACTCAAACTAGCCTCTGGACTAAACGGCTTAATAATCCAACTGAACCCTCCGAATATCAACGTTAGTCAGTTTGTTATGTAAGTTGATAATAGGGAAATTGAACTTTTTGGGAATCTGCTGCAGCACCAGTAAAAAGGGAACATTATTAATTTTTCACAACAAAATGAGCAGTTATACAATTTTGGAATGATACTCGATTTATCAGTATTTAATATTCACTCTTGCTTTTGATTGTTCAAGGCCAGTGAACAGTGCAGTGAGTAGACGCTGGAGACAGTGTATCTTGAAAGCTGTCATCTAACCTTAACTTTTTCATAGACAGAATGAAAATCCCATGATTACAAATAGTATTAATTCCTTGTGGTTTTCATGCAATTTGAACTCACATGTCTTGCAAATGAGATATTTGGCAATGGTGCTGCTGTTGCTACAGTAGGATTTGGTTTCTTATGTAATGTCGTAACAGTGCTCATGTTAATTTTTCACCTTTAGAGGCGCCATTCACTAAGTGTTTATTGCAAAAGACCCATCACCGCGGGCTGCAGTCAGAAAAACGGGAAGTATGACGGGACAGATTTGCACCTCTGCCGCGAGAGCGCAGTGGCACTGTTCAGCCACGCGTGCCATCTAGAGGCAGCATTTGGTACAAAACTGTTCAACTCAAGTAATTAATATTCACGTTATCATCGCGTTTTGCGGTTATGCATTTCATACCTGCTAGAAACTCATTGATAAATGGATGAGGCAAATAATGTGGAAAATGGTTAGTATTTAAACCCATATAAAAGCATGTATGTATAAATTTCATTCTTATATCTACAAAATTTTGAATGCTTATTTCACTTATATAAATACCTTTCAAGCTGAATAGACATTAGTTTCACCAAAATATGGCGTCCATTTTTAAGGTAATTTGTCATGTTCTGATTTATTTACAGTATAAGAGAAGATTTATCATGCTTTTCTTATTTATTACGAATCCCTAAACCTCGCCATCTGTCAGCAGGCTCCCCCAGAGCATGTGAACGTTTCCTGCTGAGCGGTAACTGTCGCCTCACTCTGCTGAGTCGAATAAATATAGTAAGTCGATGGTTCCTCATTCGCTTTACACCCGACTAGGCCGCAGAGCGCGCTCCCCGCCAGGCCCGCCCACGTCTTTAAAAACGCGCTGACGTCACCACATTTGCATAACAAATATGTCGTGTCCAATGGCCGAATTTGTATCCCAGAAAATGCAACAATTCTCTGCAGGTCGCCCACCCTGCAAAGGAAAGGCAGCCAAATGCCGATATTACAATACATCCCAGTCTTACGTTAGCTGTGTAGGGGTCGGTGTTAAGTTCTTAGTGACCTACTCGTGTATAAACTGTTTACTACCCGCTACATATCTGGAGTTTTGCATTATGTTTACATTTCACTATATGTTTACATTGCACTGTGTTTATGTATTTTATGTCATAATTTTAATTATGTTTGTTTTACTGTAAGTACCTTAATTTGTATCTGTGATTTGTGTTTCGTGTTTGATTTGTGTTTACCAGTGGTGGGAAGGACAGGCAAAGTGAGATTTTCATCACATAGAATAGCTTGCTGTTTACTGTCCATATGACAGTAAACTCACAACTCTTTTCACATGTTGCAATGGAGAGTCACATGTTTGCTGAGCTGATTTGAGTGCACCTGCAGAAAAGGGCCGAATGATTTGCATAATTTATCTCCCGTCAAATCAGCATTGTCTGGCCTGACCATTGGAGTTTGTCAGCCGTGAACTAAGCACCAGGGACAACGAAAAGCAAATCCTTCATCAAGAAATAATTATGTTCAATAAAAACACATGTTCCTCAATTATTGGCACCCCTGGAAATTATACTGAACACAATGTAACTGAAGCATGTTTCCCATGTGAATTGTACATCTTTGAGTTGATTGGACTGCATAGGATCATTCAAGCTGTAATCGATGACTTCCTGATTAACTGAGGTACAAACATGAGGCGACACAGAGGCCAAATTCCCTTAGTCATCCATCAACACGGGAAAGATAAGAGAACATACAAATCAAATGGGGGAGAAGTGTGTTGACCTTCATAAGTCAGGGAATGGGCATTAAAAAATAGCTACTCGCCTTAAAATGCCCATTTGTACTGTTAGTGCAATAATGAAAAAGTGGACAACAACTGGAACTGTTACAAACCTGCCTGGAAGAGGACCCAAGTTTATTTTGCCCCCACATACAGTGAGGAGGATCATAAGAGAAGCAAAAATTCCCCAAAGATCATTGTTGGTGAATTATAAGATCAAGTAAAATTTTGGGGTTACCATGTCTCACCATCAGACGCCACCTTCGTGCTAACAGATTATCTGGAAGTTATACCAGGAAGAAGCCTTGCCTGTCAATTTCGACCACAAGCATAAGTGCCTGGAGTTTGCGAAACGCTACTACAACTTTGACTGTAACCATGTTCTTTGTCTGATGAAACAATTTTTTTTGGCAATAAACATTCAAGGTGGCTTTGGCAAAAAAGAAGGATGGCTATAATGAAAAGAACTTTATCCCAACTGTACAATATGGTGAAGGTTCTGTTATGTTGTCGGGCTGTTTTTCTTTATTATTATGGACTCCATGAAATACCAGGACATTTTCAATCAAATTCTGGCTGCTTCTGCCAGGAAACTAAAACTGGGCCATCATTGGATCTTCCTGCAGGACAGTGATCCTAAGCATATGTCCAAATCAACACAAAAATGGTTAGCTGGCCGCAGAATCAAGCTTCTGCCATGGCCACCTCAGTCCCTTGACCTGAACCCCACTGAAAACCTGTCGACTGAGCTGAAGAGGAGTGTGCACAAGAGATGACTTAGGACCCTGGATGATCTGGAGAGATTCTGTAAAGATGAATGGTCACAGATGCCCTGCTCTGTATTCTCCAGCCTTATATAATGTTATAGGAGAAGACAGTGCTGTTATACTGGCAAAGGGAGGTTGTATCAAGTATGAAATGCTGGGGTACCTATGGTTGTGGCATTTGTGTTTTTGTTGAAAATAATTATTTCTTGATAAAGGATTTGTTTTTCTTTCAATACATTTATTTCAATGAAAGTTTGGATTTTTCTAATTTTTTCTAAAAGGTAGATGTTTTTCTAACCCTTTTTACAACCCTCTACAAGTGGTGCCCATAATTGTATATGGCACTGTAAATGTGATCAATAAAAAATATGTAGAAATTAATACTCAGCTAACAGCATCTGTCTGAGGGTACTGACGCTGATGTGGAACATTTTTTCTGTGTAATAAATGGGAAGATTTACTTGTTGATTAGCTGCCCTAATTTATGAATCAAGCGGTTTGCGTATAAAGCAGGTGATACTTTCTGGGAAGCTTGTGTAATTTTTTGCATGATAATGGCCATACTGGCTGGAACAAGCTAGACACTGCAGCCGGCCTCCTACTGGCCCAGTCTTGTAAGATTACTGTCTCAATTCAAAAATGGCTTCTGAGAGTATCGTCTTTCAGCTGAAGGACAGGTGCCTCATAGAGGCGGTTGCCAGGTTATTGTTGCCCTTAGATATGGAGAGGAGCTGACTGGGATTTCACCAGCATCCTGAAGTGTGTTCAGAGGGCCGGGTGTCTGCAGAGCTTCCCACGTGGGTGAATACAGACACCGGCTCCTCATTTGCATGGCCGATGGTGTGGATGCAAACGACCCAGCTGGCTTTCTTTAGCGTTCCCTTTTAGCAGGTGGACTCGGTGCAGAAGAGGGAGCAGGTGCACGAGGTAGGAAAAGAATCGCTAAAGGCTTTAGCAGTTTTATGCTAAAAGATGACGGTAACGATTCATTATGCAGTGATTCTTAGGACACCTTGTTTGTGCTGCTCGGTTGCAGGCTTGGTTCACTGGAACCTGAGATGCCGTTCTGAAATCTCGTGCTATACAGGTTCCAGTATCTCATTCTGCTTCAGTAATCCTGCAGCTATGAGCAAACTGCAGATATAAGTGTGTGCCTTATTTATTTATCTAAGGAGCCATTGGTTTGGGTAGGTGGGTTTATCTGTAATTGGCATGTATGTTGTCTGCATGTGTCATGAGTAAACAGCCATAATCTACTGTCCCCCTGAGTGACGCTCCTGACACAGTCCTGTAGAGCAGCCTGTATCGGACAGAAGTGTTGCGGGTCGCAAAGTTCATCCTCCCAGGAAACAAACTTTATGTCCACCTTATTGTTATGATTACGTTTTTTTTTATCCACGGCAGCATGCAATTTTTCCCATTTATGGAGTTGGACACTTATTTCATGTCATGTATTTTGCTGAGGGCTACTTAAAAGCAGCAGCCTCTTGGGTGCCCTTTTGGCCCTCGCTTGATGGAGATCTTGCTCCTCTGAAGGGCTGGTCTGGATCCTGGGGGAGCCAAACCAGGAGGGGTTGGTTACAACTGCAGGAGCTTTGGATCCATGATGGATCCTCTCCTGAGGAGCTGGAGTTGAGGACGTCTTTCGCCCTCTCCGTACTTCCCTGCTGCTGGACCAGAGCGACTGCAGACTCACCTTCTGGAGGCTGGTGCTCAGGATCAGAATGAGTCACAGGGTGGGAGTGAAGGGGAACATCCGGGGAGAAAAGGCATGTTTTGAAGGATAGAGCCGCGGCAGTGAGAGGGACCTGTGAATGGCTGCCCTTAAATGGTAAAAGCTCTTGGGACAGGGGGAGAGGCCAACTGAGTGGGGGATGGTGTGTGTGTGGGGGGGGATAAGGGAGCCAGGATAGTCTGACTTCAGCCGAAAAGTCTCTGAATGCAGGGAGGAATCTGTTGGACTTTCCTGAGCTGAGGTGACGTGTGGTGAACCGTGTGTCAGGCAGCCGTGCTCCGTAGCCAGGTCAGTGTGCGTCTCGCTTACTTACCGTAGCCTGTTGCACTCCTGTGGGGGTTCGTAACGCTTGGGGGAGGGGGTGGGGGGGGTGGTGCGGTTTGCCCTTCTGAGCCTCCGCGTCTGGGAGCTGCTGTCAGTCTCGGTCACTGTGGCTTTGCACATGCCCTCATGCATTCATTTTACATCTTTAATTCAGAGTCATGGGAATCTTTTCACAGTCGTGAACCTGAACGCAGATAACCTGAACACGGTTAACCTGAGCACATTGCCAGTGCAGGTGTGGGATGAATATGTATACCTGAGGTCGGTCATGCCGCTTTGCGGATTGCGGTAGCCTGTGCAGTTGCTCCCTTTCCCACAGTATCTCTTCATGGTTTCCCGCTGCATGACAGTCTTGAGAAAATCGCCCTTTAGCATCACCGCCTTGATTCTCACACTCCTCCCCTCCTCTCATCTTGTCTGCTATCAGCAGCACTTGCCCTGAGCTGGTTCTTACTGTGCAAATTTTAAACAAATCCAGCACTCTGGAACTTTCTTACAGCGTACACATGGTCTGGTTCTCATGATGGCGTCTGGCCGCAGCTGGCCCCAGGGTGAGAACATGGGGTTCAGCATCCTCTCCAAGTCTGTTTTCCTTGGAGAGTAACACCCCGTGTGGTGTCCCAGATAGGACCTCTCTAAATATAGCTGTGGTCAGTGAGAGGTCCTCAGGCTGACCAATGGTTCACGGGAAACGACTAATTCAATTACTCTCCTTAAATGTCATTGCATGGATGTAAGTTCATGTTGTGAAATTGCATCATCTGCTTGGATGTGCTCCCTGGAGAACACCGTCCACAAGGCTGTGACAGGACCAGGCCTGGTCCCTCTGTGACGACCCACCGCATTCATTTCCTTCCTGCTCTCCGTCGCTACATCCTGTTGGCAGCCAATGCTGCGACGCACCAGCCAGTGAGGCTCCACACTTGGATGGAGATTTTTAACATGACGGCTGGGGAAACTCAGCCCTATTTATGTCGATGTTGTCCTCAGGTGTCCTCGTGGGCATGTCTGTCAGCAGCTGCTTGCAACCGTGTCTGAATGAATCAACATGCAGGGTGAAACTCAGAGGGTAGGTTTTTCCATGAACTGAAGCTTTATTTACCATTTGCGCAAGCACTGGTGTATAGGAGCACTTTAGCTTTCACATTTCCTGTAATACACTCCACACACATATTGAGTTGAGAGTGAAGCTTGGGGTCTGAGCACAGGGTCAATCATTGATCATGCACCGCTGGAGCATTTTTCTGCAAGTTAAGGGCCTCACCCAAGACTATTCTGCTGAGCATAGGATTTGAAATGGCAACCTACCACTCACAGGCACAGAGGGCCGACCTGCTGAGCATAGGATTCGAAATGGTGACCTACCACTCACAGGCAGAGAGGGCCAACCTGCTGAGCATAGGATTCGAAATGGCAACCTACCGCTCACGGGCACAGAGGGCCAACCTGCTGAGCCACACACCATTTTTTTGAGGGCGATGTCAGAGATGAGGCCCACTCCCATAAACGTGATTATTGAAAGGTATATAGACTGTGCACGATACTGAGCAGAATTAGCGGTTAGAAGACGGATGGATATGAACTTGGCGGGATGGACCCAGAAGCAATGGCCCAGCTCTCTTTGGACTGCAGAATGGTGCTTTTGTAAGTAGTTTGGTCTGTCTACTCATCACACAGCTAAGATGCTGATAAAATCACCCCGTTCCATCCTCTGTGGATTTGTCCGCCATATGGAAGGTTCAAGGATTTTAGCACATATCTTATGGTTCTTCTACACCTCACACAAATATTCTCCTGAGATCCAGGGCAAAAAAAGGCCTTTTCAATTTTGATTTCTTTTTTACATAAATTAAGTGTTGGGATGGTAAATAGCATTCCCCCACATATGTGATGTCATCTGAAAGCCCTAACTGTCAGGACCTAAAAGAGTAGCATGTATAGTATGAAAGATATGAGCAAAAATGTAATGTCCTCTACAGAAGACGAAAATGAATTGCTGGATCTCAGGAAGTTATATCGTTTATATGGTTTATTTCCTGCTGCTGGGCCTCTGAGCAGAGCACTTAACCCCGAATGCCCCCAAGCGCTGGACACTGGATGCCCCCAAGCGCTGGACACTGGATGACCCCACACTGTTACACTCAGGCTTGCTCTCCAGCGGAAATGCATCTGTGTGTCTCATGGAGAGCATGATGGATGGAAGGACACTTTTCCCACAGGGCTCAATGAAGTATCACAATTCTATTCAGTATTTCTCCTGCCTTGTGCCCTGTGTGTTTGGGAATTTGCTCCAAGTTTTTTGTGGACCTGTATATGATGGATGGATGGATGGATGGATAGATGGATGGATGGATGGGTGGATGAAGGATATGATTTATATGTTTAACCTTGTCCTTCCTCAAATTTATGTATACTTGTGATAGTTCTGAAATAGTCCTTATGTTAAATTAGGGTGACCAGATAATCCATGTCAGGGAGGACACTCTGAGCTAGGACAGGATTTGTAAACTACCATTTCAATTAAAAGGACCTGGATTTCACTTGAGCACCGAGTTCTTACTGTGTGCTAATTGGTCAGTCTCCTATAATCATGCATGTGTCACTAGAAGAAGAGCTGAACTAATTAGCCGAACACAGGAGCCTTTCAGTTTGAAATTAGTTTGTAAAACCCGAAGTAGCTCAAAGTGTCCTCCCTGACATGGATTATCTGGTCACCCTATGTTAAATACTATGCCACTTTCCTTTGTAAAAAAGGAAAACTTGAAAGCCTTACTGGTGATCAAAACTTTATAGGTTTAGATATTAACGTATTCCCTTCCAACAGACTGGTATTACCAATTGCTGCAGAATGGACATGGGCAGTTGCGATCATGTGATGCGTGATGCGCGATCATGTGATGCGTGATGCGTACACTCATGGGTGTGGCTCCTAAGGTCTGTGGGAGAACTGTTCTAGAACCAAATAAGCCTGTAACAGAATGCGAGCAATTTGAAATGTGACATTTTAACGTGCTTTCAGCTGCAACAAAATAATTTCAAAATATTCTTTTTTTCACTCAACACATCTTGCCAGGGGCCAGAGGCAAACCAATTTGACCACAAATGTTCCACTAAGTCAAGATTGCAATAATTATTCTTCATACGCTCTGTTATTCTCTCTTATTCACACAACAGAATAATTTCTTCCTGTGTCTTCATTATTAGATGTTTTTTTGCCGGAACATTCTAATATTTGCAGAACAGTAAACCAGTATGGAGTTAATCATGTGTATTATTAACAAGAAAGAGCTCTGAGTAGCGTAGCAGTAGTGGTCCTATTAGTGTGTGTGTGTGTGTGTGTGTCATGTGGAAATTGGAAAATGCACAATATCTGACAGTAGCCGGGGGAAACAAAAGAACTAGGTTTTTCGGAACATCGTGATGATGTCAGAGAGGGCACTCCTGCTGCCCCAGCAGACGTTTTCCAGAACCTTGATAAACACATTTTGCCTACCCATAATTCCACAGGGCCTCCCACTTAAATACAACCTGCAGTTCTAGGCCATTACAACTGAGGGGGGGGGGGGGCAGATGCATTTGACCTTAATGTTCTCCAAGTATTACTTACACTAGATTGCCAGCATTAAGAGGCAAAAGCCAATTTTGAAGACTGATAAGTTGTTTATGCAATGCTTTGCAGTTACGTTTTACAGTTTTTATAAATATGTAACTCACTCTGATTTCTTGTTTGCACAAGCTTATGTTTTTCTGTCGTTAGCTCCTCATCTCACCAACTGAAATGACTCGACCACCTGCCGCACCCGTATTAAGAGTCCATCAAGAAAATGTGCTTACATTTGTGTTTCGCCTGGTCCCAGCGCACAAAATTTTAGCCCACAAATATAAATATAAATAATAATAATAATAATAATAATAATAAAACATTTATTTCAGACCCAAGTAGTATACATATTTAGGGGGGGCACAGGGGAACTGCCCCCCACCCCCGCTCCCCTAGAACCGCCCCTGTCCTGCACGTTTGTATATAGATATTTAAAACAATGATTAGAGTGTTCACAGTGACATGCAGCCATACCATAGTAACCCCGCCCACAATGTCACCATCAAACAGAATCAGTTCTGCCACATGGCTGTGCAGATTCTTCAGGAACTGTTGCTTATCCAATAAAAGATTAGATGATTGCTTTTGTTCCAAGACATTATTTTTGTCTCTCAAATAACAAAATAGGGCAAGTTCTGCATGTTCTATAAAATCAAGATTCTTATCAGGCAAATACTGCCAACTATAGCCCTCAGATAATATGGGCACATTTGGTGCTGTGCGTGCTATCGATTCATCACCATCTGTGTGTCTTACTTCCTCTAAACAAGCCCTTAACATCCACACGTCTGTTGTAGGGACTTCCTACTTCACATGCATCTGCCACCGGTTCTTTAACAGATCTGAACCTTTCCTCCGGAGGATTCTTGGTCCGTAAAGAGGGCCTCAGATGGTACCAGTCGCCTGGAGCCATGTCACCCATGACCAGCCCGTAAGAGCCCTTCCAGAAGTGTAAAGTAAGTGTCTGTGTGCTGAATGGAATCGTGGGAGTAAGTTTGTTCATGCGATGAAGATTTGTCTTTGTGGAGCCTATGCAGAAATATTTATATTGCTGGATGGTGTTGGGTGAGAACCTAAGTCTTAACCAGGAGTTCTGGTTAGAGGGGGGTAGCCTGACTAGACAGTGTAGATGGGCACAGGAAAGCATCATAAAGCCTGAACTTCCTGAATCTTAAGAAAGTCTTCTCATGATGTTCTCTGTTGCCAAATGCTATGGACTTGCCCCTCGTGTGGTTAGTGTCTCTTTACACCATGACTTCAGCAGGTTCAGCCACAGCGACAGCTGTCTGTTGGAGCCAGCGGGGACCTGAGCTGAGCCGGGCCGGGCCGGGCCGGACCATGTGCTCTCAGCCCTGCTGACACACTGACGGTGAGTCCAAGCTTGAAAATGCTTGACCAGCTGGCCTCCGGGTCCAATTCCAGAGGGTCCTGTGTTCGCTACCTCACAGTCCAGCCAACTTTTCTGGCTTACTTATGCTCGTTAGTAGTATGGTAGTATAGTAGTATAGTGGTATAAGCGGTAGGGGGGTTTAAGTGACAAAAACCCAAAGCAGACAAGCGTGAGAAAAGACCCATATTCCTCAACACCAGGGACAGTGTTAAACTAAAAGCCACAACACGTATAATGCATTTGCTCTAAATGACTTTAAGTAGTAGACCCAAAACTGTACGCTTCACAGTAGTATAGTAGTAGTATATTATGGACAAATTACTGTACAGATTACTCCCACTTACTAACACTGTAATACACTGTTCTGAAACCTTCAGGTGCAGCATTGATTTAAAAAACATTTGAAATTTTCTTTTGAATGTGTCAATTTAATTAAGGAAATATCACTGGAAAATGCACAAATTACTGTGGAAATGCATTTGACAATGGTGTTGAAAGATAAAACCAGCCATTTTTGTCTTCCTTCGGTTAATAACGCATGAAAGGAGCGAATTTGGCCGTTTGCTTCCAGAAAGGTACTATGCAGTGACAATGTGATAGAAACAAGAAACAGCTTCACATGACCTTAGTAGAACAGCTGTTACGTGTTGTGTAGATGGCAGTTACTGTAAGACTCCCTATGGTAATGAAAGCTTAAGCTTGCGGGCTGGGGTGTCACAGGGCCACGGGGACCCTGGTGGATTCAGGGGGCCCAGCGCGTTATAGGACAAAGAGATATAGATAGATGCTTCATTGTCATTGTAAGTACAATGAGATTTCGTTTGGAACACGCCAGCAGATGCACAGTATATTTACAATTAAATAGATCTGAGGCATAAATAGAATGGGAGAGTATGTCAGATGTACAAGATATATATACAGTAAGGTGCTAGGAGCCCCAAAGTGTGCCACTGGGGGGGGTCAGAATTTCTAGCTATGCCTGCTTGTGGCTACCATTCAGGGACTTAGAGAGCCCTGTGGTGCCTCACACATCAAAGCAACATTATCTGTCACACCTGTTAACCTTATTTTGTAAAATTAATATTCATTCCGAAGAGAGTATGTCGGCAGAAATTAAGGCATTGTGTTTTTTTTACAGAAGCCTGGATGTTTTAAGATTGTTCCAAACAATTGCTACCACGCTACAACTGTTTATCTTGAATTAGTTGAGTCTGTCTTTTTTTAGAGTAGAATTCCTTGTCATTGTACAACAACATTTCGATCTCTGCATCTCATTCTCCGATGAAGCACACGCAGATATTTTGGGATGAGAACAAAGCTTGGGTCAGACCTTTGGCTGCCACCCATGGAGCATTTTTTCGGGTTGAAAGCTTTTCTCAAGGGGCCACAAGTGGCATGAATCCTCTGCCAGCCACAGGATTTGAACCAACAACCTTCCAGACACTAGCAAGGACTCCCAACCCATTTTCTAATGCTAATTAATTAATATTTTCAATGGCAGTTCAAATAAGCAAGTTGTACATTATATAAATTGATACTGTAATTGAAGCACGAAAGTTACTTTGCACAAGCAGACCACCGTTTGATCAGTGGGCTAAGAACCCAGGCCCTAGAGCATTTGTTGTCCACCTTGATCATTTGAAGCTGATTAATCCATAGGCTCTCCTAGGCTATAGGCTAGTGCCACAGTAAAATGTGGGGCCCCATTTGGCAAAATCAGAGGCCCCGCTTCAGAGACAATGTAACGGTTAATCTGGCCCATCGATTCGCTGGCACCTACTCCCCCCGGCCAATTTTCCTGCCAAATTTCCTGTCTCCTACCCAGGTGGAGGGAGACGATCCAAAAGTCCTGAGAAGAAGCTGCTCAATCACCCCCCCCCCCCCCCCATCACCACCACCACCACCACCACCAGTAAATCAGGGTCTGCTCCCCCAGGACCATGTCTACCCTCCTGGGAGTTGACGAGGACCCTGCTGGGGAGACGGCCAGCACACTGCCTGCTGTATGTAGATGCAGAGACACACAATGTTGGCTGCAGACACACATTTATCTCAAAGTCAATGTGTTTTAATTGTCCTCTTTAGCTATGTGATGCATTGATGATCATGACGCAGAAGAAAATGTATTTAATCGACTATAAATACGTAAGACATATAAACACAGATATTATACATAAGACCATTAAATAACGCAGTGCTACTCGAAACCCCTGTGGCGCCCTAGAAAAGCTTGACCACCAGCGCCCCCCAACTGAGACAAAGTGAAATCGCTAAGTCAACATCCTGTCAGAAGATGGCACTTTAGGTGCCCGTCTATGTCGCCTGATGGGCTGACCAGCCCTGACTGCAGGAACCCGGCTGCTCATCACATTCCTTCACACATGCAGATACACACATAGCTAAGGAGTTTAGTGCTTTATGTATACGCACTCTTCTGGAATCTTCCACTGTGGAGATTTGAAGTCACATGGTAGACCCAGAAGCCCACGCTTTCAGCACCGTCCAAGATATATGCTTGTGTTCCTCTAGTACTGCCGACCTGAAACCAAGGTGGTGACCATAACCCTGTCAGGGTCCTCTGTACCCTTGTCAAGGCAGGGTACCGCATACAGCCAAGAGCCTGGAGCAGTAGAGCAGGCCAGGTAAGAGCTGTCGCGTTTGGTTTCATGCTGCTCAGTCCTGCAATGTGTTAGGAGGTGGAGAGCTTGTTTATAAGTGAAATGTCATTAATCCTAAACACTGCTTAAAACAACCATCTACAAATCAGGCAGCTGGTCAAACATACCACCTCTCAGGATGCTGGCACAGTGCAAGATGTGATTCACTGGGTAATTGTAAATGTGCCAAGGAACAAATGAGCGTGTAACTAAATTCTTCCTGAGTTCTTGAATGTTACTCGAGAGTGAAATCATCACATGCGAAATCCCAGAATAGAGATGCTTTGAGCCTGATTTTTTTAGTTTTCAGCAAATCCCGATTCAGGTCGTAGCATCTGCAGTGTCTTCTACTGTCAGCTGCCTATAAGAAATGGCTAATATAATTCAGCTGTTTCTGCCAGGGGTGGAAGAAAAAAGTCAATTTACATTGAGCTACCTTCCTCCAGCAGGACCCACAGGCCACGAGTATCCCAGAAGTCCTCTTCAGGAAACTACATCACCACAGTTGGTAGGTTCAATAAACACTACAGATTCAAGGAAACATCTTTATATGGTATTCCAGCTCTGTCCTGAACTGTGCACTGACTAATTCACAACTATGTCTGGACTCATAGCAGTGGCCTACAGCTATATCGTAGGTCTGGTGATGAAGAATAAAATCATGCAGCTTTATTTCAGCTTGGATTTGTCATCTATAAGTGAAGAGCTGTTCATTTTCTGATGATCAAATCAAAATCTCATTTGGGTTAACTGGGTCATGGATATTAACGTTTACGTGATTAAAGTCTGATGATGACTTTCTTTATAAATAGTTCAGTTAAGCAATTAAGGAGACCAGGTCCATAGGCTGTCATATTTGGTGATCAGAAGGTATCTGTAGATATCTTTCCGTTAGCATGTACATCTGCATCATCCCCAGATGGCCAAGGCCATCTGATAGACCTGGCAAAGGACCAGCTACCTGACATGCAGCTCTCTGAAGAGGACAAGAGGAAGAACCTGGAACTGCTGCTGGAGGCCAAGGAGGTCAGCGAACGTTTCCTCACACGCAGAGGGAGAAGGTCTACCTCCAGTATCTCAGACTCCCCTACAGGTAAGCCCAGCCCCCAAAGCCATCCAGAGAGGGCACCTTTCAGAGCTTACATTCTTCTCAGAGGACATTCATGGGGAGACATTTACATAAAATCCTATGATAAATTATGAAAAAAATTATAATAAATAAGATTTATTGTGATCACTGTACATAGGATCCAACAATAAAATACAATCTAATAATGTCATTCATCTAAAACAAACATTCAAGTTGCAAATGATAATAAATAAAAATGAGCGACTGAAGGAGCTGATCCAATCAGAAATGGAAATTTACTTCAAAGGGTTGGAAAGGCAACTGCAAAGGCACAGTCACTCTTAGATTATAACCAAGACCACAGGACTGACAGCAGTAACTGCAAAGGCACGGTCACCCTTAGATTACAACCAAGACTGTGGGACTGACAGCAGTAACTGCAAAGGCACGGTCACCCTTAGATTATAACCAAGACCGCGGGACTGACAGCAGTAACTGCAAAGGCACGGTCACTCTTAGATTATAACCAAGACTGTAGGACTGACAGCAGTAACTGCAAAGGCACGGTCACCCTTAAATTACAACCAAGACTGTAGGACTGACAGCAGTAACTGCAAAGGCACAGTCACCCTTAGATTATAACCAAGACCGTAGGACTGACAGCAGTAACTGCAAAGGCACAGTCACCCTTAGATTATAACTGAGACCATGGGACTGCCAGAAGAAACTGATCAGAAGTAGACATCAAGGTTCTGACAGAGACTTGCAGTAGATCGACGATATAAGACAAGTCCACTGAAGGCTTTGAAGCAAACAGTAAAACCTCGTACCTGACTCTAAAATTCACTGGAAGCCAGTGCAAACCAGCTTGATCCGGTGTGATATGATCTCTTTTCATTGTGTTAGTCATAACCTTGCAGCAGCATTTTTTGCTGCCTGACTGACTCCTGTGTATAAAGCATTAAAATAGTGTATATGCCCAGAAATGAAAACATGAGTAAGTTTCTCAAAATCATAAAAAGGGAGAAAAGACTAAACCATAGCTATTAATGCTCCCCGTGGGGAAATTGTCTTTTTGCTGATCCCATCTTGCTCTCCATGAGACACACATACAGGTGAGAGGGAGTCACAGTGCAGAGTCAGCCAGCATGCAGTGCCACTGGAGCAACTGGGGCTTAAGGGCCTTGCTCAGGGGCCCAATGGCAGCATCAGTCTGCTGGCCCGGAGATCTGGACCAGTTATGATCACAAGCGCAGTGTCCTAACCTGTTGAGATACACTCCAGCCCCTACTAGTTACAGCCTCTGGTTGCTCCATTTGTTCAGACTACCTTGTGCAGTATTTAAGCCTTTTTAGGCTGACCTGTAGAGTGCCACCTACTGGGCAATATCAGAACCCAACTGGACAGCCAAAGGCTGTAAATGTATGTAGGTCCTCCCAGGTGCCCCTGGAATGTCACGTACCCTGTTAGGCAAAACCTAATTAAATCTGACTCCAACTTTAATTAAACAATAAATGTGAATCTATTTATTTATGATCCCACATTTAGGTTGCTCTGATTACTTCTAGGCTTTCCTTACTTGTGACTAACTTTGCTTGTTCTGAGTTGCAGTGCTGCACTGGATAAACTTTGGCCGATAAATCAAACCTTCAAACACAACATCTGACCGTTTGGTCTCAATTCAGGGATGAAGGGTGGCTACAGACTAGCGCAGTGTCAGCTTTTCCGGCCAATCGGGTTTAGCTGTTCAGTTTAACCGAATGTTTCACCACGGGGTGCCTGCAAACTCTTGTGTGTCATTGAATGCAGTATATTGCTGCAGATTATCATTACATGGCAGTTTATTGCTACATGGCAGTTTATTGCTACATGGCAGTTTATTGGTACACTGCAGTTTATTGGTACACTGCAGTTTATTGCTACACGGCAGTTTATTGCTGCACGGCAGTTTATCGTTGCAGGCAGTTTATCGCGGCACGACATATCATAGCCGATGAAACTCTTTATATTTTATCCGAGTCAGACGATGGTCAGGTCTTTAGGGTCTTCCGGTGGTAAGGTGCTATGTCTAGTGCGTACTTAGTCCTGGTTAGGGCTCATGCTACACTGTTCCCCTGGAATGTACTGCAATTAGCAGTGTCAGATATCCAGGAAGAGAGGGGAGTTTAGGGGAACAGAGTTTATTCAAAAAGTATATAAAATATACATCAATCATGGTACAACAAGAATGCAGAAATCAATCTAAGCCTAATCTAAGCGGCCACACTATTCTATAACTACACCAACTCTATGTCAAACATTACAACATCAAAATAGTACATACTCCAGCTGATTGTGCACATGGGAGTTGTGAGGGAGATCTGGTTACAGATACTAGTCACGTTGAACTATGTGCGAGCTCTGACTGCAGAGTGACTATTCAAATGAGACCAAATACGGGTAGGTGTGTCGCTTGCAGTAACCTGGGGCGACGCTTCAGGTCTTATCTGTAAACTTTCTGTGACTTGGCACAGGGGGCAGAGGACAGGAAAAAGGGGAGAGGGCAAGGTGGGTTTCTGGCCTGTGGACTCGTTTCCCCTCGTTAGGCTTTGATGTGAGATCACTGATGTCTGAGGCTGTTGGTCTAAGCCCCGTCATGTCGGAGCCAAGCTTCATCACAGGCTTTGATAGAGTGCAGGATTACAGGGGCCCACAAGGGCCCGCAGTCTACAACTGCAAGGCAAACCGGGCGTCTGCACCGAAATGAGCCGGCGCAGAACCGTAACCCGAATCGCTGGTGTTCTCTGCAGGCGCCGGTCCCACTCCCAACTCCTCTCCAGCACCGTCCCGAAGCAGCTCGCTCAGCGCTATGCCTTCCGGTGAGTCGGTCTGCCTCACACACGCCGTGACACGCGCCAGCAGGCCTCGGGAGCGTGACCCGGCGCTCCACTTGACTGTGGGATGTCCTGACTCAGTGATGTTTTCCTGCTTTGTCTGCAGTTTCAGCAGCGGATATGGCCGAGGCGAATTACGTCAGTTCCCCTGTTGTCCAGGTAATGACCCCCGTTGGCATCCTGTTATTGCTGTGTGCGGTGATGTTTGTGCAGAACAGAGCTGCTGACAAGTCCCTCAAACCCGAGGACATCCCATTCATGGGGTCATTTATCTGCAAACATTCAGCTTTGCTTTTACCAGTGATGTGTAGGGTCTGAGAGTTCTGCAGAGACTGTTGCCAACGGAAACGTGTGACATTGAGTTCAGGAGATGGTTCTTGTGGTACATAGTCAGGACTTGCCGATCTTCATCTTTGTTGCTGTATTTGCGTCTCTGTGACTTGGCCTGCAGTTTGTTCCCCGTTGTCCTGTTTAAAGGTCACATCCAAGCACACTAAGGCTCAGTCCGTCTTCCTGTCATTGTGGCCTGGTTAAGGGTCTCGCTGTTGCCTTTCTGATAGAATCAAACAGTCCTTCAGCCAGGTGCCAGAAATGCTCAAAAACTAATGAAATTAATGACAATTAGATTGAACTTGCAGGTCCCAAACACTTCAAAATAGTGGACAGTGCCTCAGAAAAGACCAGGCTAACCAGATCCTCTAGACTATTGACTTAACAGTTTATTTACTTTGAAAGATTGAATCAACATGTATAAAAAGATATCACTGCCTAATCTGCTTCTGACGTGTTATGTAAATGACGCTGCAGGACTCTCGGACCCTGAAGGAGGTGCGGCCTGTGAGCCTGGGCCCCGAGCCACTGAGTCCCTTACTCCCCGGGGGAACCAAACTGTCTGGGGTCGGCGCTGCCCAGAGAATGGGCCGCGACTCTAAGAAGACTGATCTAGTAGAAGGGGCCTCAAGTGGTGCCAGGAAGGATGGCACAGGGCAAGGCGAGGCCTCTGCCACGAGTTCAGCCCGGCCGGTGCCCCGCAGCGCCCCCATGAGGGTACCCTGCACCGCTGAGATCAAGACCCTGGAGGCCTTTCCGCCGCTGATGCGTGCGGCCTCCTGGGATGCGGCAGGCTCCTCCCCCGAGCTCGAAGAGGAGCCGCCTTTCACGTCTGAGCTGCTGGAAGAGGCCACCCCCATGCAGCCTGCAAAGATGGAGAAGCTGGCCAGACTGCGAGAGGTAGGGCCTCCCCGACTGCTGCCAGGTGCCCAGCAAAGCTAAGATCCACTCCGGTGTGTAAGTGCTATGTGTGGGTTTTGCCCATATCCTGTCTCTGGCGAGAGAAAAAGCAAATTTGTCTTACAAGAGCCCCCTGTGTTGGTCCGAATCACGTGACCATCTGATCTACATTTTCAGGAGCACAAGCTGCTCCGGCACCAAAGCATCATCGGATCCAAGCTCCCGGACCTGAGTGAAACGGCCGAGCTGGACAGAGGTGATTCTCCTGATTTTGGACGAGGCCACAAAGCAGGAGCACCTTAGAGCACTCGTTAGCCTTGCTGTTTACATTTAAACCAACAGGTGGCGTGGATGGGACATGCGGATGCTGTTTGAGGTAGCAGGAATGTACTGGATATCAGAGCAATGTTCGTTTTGTAGCTCATGTTATGGCAGCATATGGTGCAATACAGTCAAGTACTTGAGTAATTTGACTTCTGTGAATTCTGCTTTCGTAATACAGCTTGACCCAGCTTTCTCAGACCTCCATATCTGCTATATGGCGTCACTTGCCCGTGGTCAGATGGCCTGTGTTTGTGCCCCTAGGTCCTTCTACGAACAAGGAGTCCAGGGGTCAGAGGTCAGAGGTCATGCCCAACATCTCCGATGTGATGCTGCAAAAGCTGAAGCTGCACCGGGCTCAGACGGGCAGGTGTAGATGGGGGGCCTTGTTGTGGGCGGAGTTAATGTGGGAGGGGCCAACCTTTCGTTGGCATGGCTGTAAGGGTCAAGGAAACTATGGATCGAAAATATCAAAATCTGGACTTTCTGCTGAAAACGTAGGGGGCGATCATTGTTGCAGTAACAAATGCGATTAACCTGCAAGCATACTAGTTCTTGCAGTTCCTAAAACGACTGTTGTACTAACTTTTACTAAGAAATCAACATAAACTGCTTTACTCCACACACCAAGCAACATAGCTTAACTATGTGTAATGTGCTGCACTTGTTGGCCTTCAGAGGAAATCCTCATTTGCGGTGTTTCCTAATTCAGTCTTCGGGGACCCACAGACAGTCCACATATTTGCTGGAGTTGAGAGGGAGCAAATATGTATGCTGTCTGGCAGGAAGCTCAGAGGGAGCAAAAACGTGGACCGGCTGTGGGTCCCAAGACCCGGATTGGGAAACACTGCTTTGGAATGGAGCCAGGGCCTCCTCAGCATTTGTTCCCCAGACAGGCTGCAGTGTGTAAACGGGGGGCCACAGAGAGGGGCTTTGTTTGCACTGCAGAAATGTGGCACGGCTTTAATCCCATGTGCTCTCTCTCTCTCTCCATTACAGCTCCCCCCCGCTCACAGAGAGAGAGGTCGAGGTTGGTATCCGATGCGGCTCGATGATAAACCTGCACAGCTTAAGCTGTCAGCACTCTGTGTATACTTTGCTTGCGGTGTGCCTCTGTGGACCCTCGGGGGGGAGGTAGTGGGAGACCCACACCAATGCATTCTGCCGTCCCGTGAAAGAGAGTTCGGGTTGGGTCACTTATAAGGAACTTTCTGATGAACTCTTCCTGCAGCCAGATACCTGGTACCATGAGATTAGGCCTCCTGGGTGAACCTTCAGCTTGTTAGAATAGAGATGCTTTATTCGCCCCAATTGCCTTCGCTAGGGACAGGTGAGAGCAAGCTTAGGGGAGGGGGGTCACAGCACAGGGTTCAGCCAGCGCCCCTGGACCTGCGAATTATGGGACTTACTCAAGGGCCCAGTGACAGCATCAATTGAGTCAAAACTACCTGGGCCACATGCCACACAGATTGTACGATACCACAGGAGGTAGCCCAGAAGGCGAATGGTCACCAGTGTGACTCCCAAGAGAGATCTGCTGTGGTACCCTTAAGAAAGACACTTTTAACTTAATTAACTTTTAACTTTTAACAGGGTAAAGTGGTGCAATTGTAAGCTGCTTTGGGTGGAACTGGGAATTTAGCAAGTCATTGACATTGAGGTTAACTTGATAACATGGGGCCTTGAGCTGCACCCATCTTCCTGTCAGAAGGAGAATTCCACTGATATGGGAGGTGGAGGAAGGTGGAGGTTAAGGCTTCTCTTCCTTGCCTGGTCCCACAAAGAACCATCTCCTAGCAACAGATGCCATCAGGACACAGGGAAGATCTTCCAGGCAGCCCTGATCCCTCCTAACAGCTGAAATTGTGATTGTTGTGTACATTCGGGTGAAGGCCTCATTTCCGGCTCCCCGTCAGAAATTAGTACAGCAGTGATATCTTCTGAAATGGTGTGCTTTGTCTCTCAGAGGCTCTAGAGTCTGCTAGAGGCCTCACAGCTGCCTTTTTACATGGGAAGAGTGAAAACAGTTTTCCACTTGAGAAAGACCGTCAGCAGAACCTTCAGTCGTGGCTGAATTTGTATTCACTTCTAGTCGCACATTTATTTATTTGCCAGTTAATGTTTGCTCTGTTTACTGCCTTGGTTGGGTGTGGTGTGTGGACCAGTGGTTCAGGTTGCTGTTCCTGTTATTAGAAGGTTGCCAAATCCCTGGATCAGTAGAATTATTTCATTGTTAGGTCCAGTTGAACAAGACCCATAAACCCTAATTGCTCTAAGAATCCTGCTTTCTCAGAAATGTGCATCACTTTCAATATAAGCGTGTGCTAATTAAATTAAATGTATTTGAAAATCAGTTTGATGTTGAATTCCAGTTTAAGTTACTTTACCCAATTCCCCTGTCCCCCATTTCAATGTGTACTGTGTAGATGTAGCCACTTTGGAAATCACAACGAGATGCATGTCCTCTGTCCAGAATGCATTTGTGCAGCTCTCGTTGGCTTTCCGTAATGACAACTATACCCTGGACACGCGTCTGCATCTGGCTGAGCGGGAGCGCTCCCTGACCGAGGAGAACGCCGAGAAGGAGCTGGAGGACTTCAAAGGCTCCCTTCAGGTCAGTCCGCAGGGGGCGTTCCCAGGGGCCACCCTCCCCCTCTCACATGGTTCAAAAACTAAATAAGCCAGCGAGTAGAGTCAGAAGGTCATAGCTAGCCGGGTGGTTAGCAGAACATGCTGCTTCAGCACCTCCTAAATAAGGAATACGTTTATTTAATATTTAGTGTTGTGACTGTTTGTGGCCAAGAGGGGGCCCCCAGACTTCAGGGGCCCCACATACATGCATGCTTTGAGGGCTGGTAAACACAACCACTGGGTGTACCCTGGGTAATTATTGCGGCTGTGCATCCCTGTAGAAAACTGCTGTGCTATGGCAGAGCCAAGAGCACCGGGAATCCTACCAGCGCCTCCTGGAGACGGTGGCAGTACTGCACCGGCTGGCAACACGCCTCTCCAGCCGGGCCGAGATGGTCGGCGCCGTGCGGCAGGTGGGGCATGACATGTGGGATGGTTATTGGGAGAAATTAGCCTCCACACCAGATCAGTCCATGGGATGAGGTCCTTGAGATGTTCCAAAAGAATTACTTTAGCTCTCTTAACCATATCGATGGGGTGGAATATCTAAGTGTTCATTCTGTAAGGCAGCATGACAGGGACTCTGTTATATTTAATTCTTTCATCCATTCATCCATCCATCCATCTTCCAACAGGTTATTCTGTGTATATTAGCATCAGCATATTTCATTATGGAGTCCAAGCCATTTTAAACAAAGGAAGTTCACCTTCACTAATTGCCTTGGATGAGTGGGGTTTTGTTTAGATATTATTCTCCCTGTATTAATCACGAACGATCCATTCAGTGTGCCGGTGATTGTTTGATTAATTCGTTTATATTAGAATCAGCCACAGACATTCTGATCAGTTGTGGGCCAAAGTGAAGAAGACAGTGTCCCCCCCTCCCCATACACGTGTCACAGGAGAAGCGCATGAACAAGGCTACTGAAGTGATGATGCAATATGTGGAGAACTTGAAGAGGACCTATGAGAAGGATCACGCTGAACTTATGGAGTTCAAGAAGCTGGCCAACCTAAACTCTGGCCGTGGCTACGGCACATCTGCAGATGCAGGTCAGAGCGTCGTGGGCAGCTTTCGGCATTTAGGGTTTCTCCCGGCGATAGATAAACTTCTATTTGGAGTGCTAAGTTAGAAAATAAGTCAAAAATGTTCTGAGGGCAGAACGAAAAATGATTGGTTCAGAGAGATAACCAATTAGTGTGTAGATGAGGTGGGTCCGAGCAACTAGACGAGGCTGGACATCGGATTGGTTGGTCCCTCCTCCTCCTCCTCTACAATCTGATTGGTTATCTCTCTGAACCAATAATTTTTTTCTTTTTGCCCTCAGAACATTTTTGTTTAAGTAAAACTCACATAAGCAAGTGATATCAACACTGCATAAAAGACTTTTTTATTGTTACACCCGCTGAACACTGCCTTTGAGTGGCTCCCCTCCAAACGCCGGCTCCGTTGTCCTGGTTGCAGGACACAGAGGAGGAGGGCCACCTTTGTTCCTAAAGCTGTCCTTCTTTTGAACTCCTGACACCCTCCCAAACCCACCATTATCACCTCACACTCCCATCTGCCCCTCCCCCCTACAATCCAGACCTCCTCAGATCTGAGTCTCTCACTTTTTTTTTTTTTTTTTTTCCCCCCCACTTTCTCCATCATGCATACTATTGCCTCTGTACTTTTAGTCATTTATTATGTTCATAGTTTATTGTGTGTCTGTGTGTCATCGGTTGCGTTTAATGTTACTACTGTTATTTGTGTGCGTTGCTCCTCTATGCCTTTTAAATTGCCCCTCGGGGACAAATAAAGTTTTTTGAAATTGAAATTGAAATTGAAATTGAAATTGAAATATTTATTTATTGTTATTATTTATTTTTATTGTTATCTATGATGACCCATCATGCTCTCCAGCTAGTTCTTGAATTAGTGTTTTAATGACTAACCGCAAGGTTTCAAAGACTACAGGGTCTTGAAGGGCCTCAGTCTTGTATGTGATGCTTCAGTAAATGCCAGTCTAGAAATGAAACATCACAGATGAAACTGTAGAACAAGCACCAGGTTTAAATGGTCAGGTATATGTGCTTCGGGCCCAGCAGAGATTCTCCAGTACTGTGAGTGGAGACCTGTGTTATTCAGGATCCAGAGAGTCTAAAAATTCCACTGTTGCTCACAACGAAAATACAGAAAGTGACTAAAAACATATTTCAGTGTGTTATTGGCACCTACTGAGTAAATACTTACATCTTCTGTAAATATCCAGTGCGCTGTCGGCAGCGTGTGTATATATATGTCTGGGGCTTGTTAGTCAGAGTAGGGCCAATGTTTGCATATGAAGGTCTTAAGTGCTGTTTGTGACACGTTCCTGCGGACACACTGCCCTCCCATATTGGCCTGTTTCCTTAGCATGGGTCCCCTAGACCACACAAGGATGCCTCAGACTGGTGATATTTTTTTGTATTATGCCTTATGGCATCATTTGAGGTGTGTCAAGCAGAGGCTCTTTAGGGCTGTCGCGATATAATCGTGATCATATGGCGCACACGCAGTAATCACCAGGGCTTCATATGATGGCCGTAAACATTTGTCCAAACGGCAGCCTTTTGGTACTATACAGACATCTACTAACGCCCACAATTAGGTAAGCAGATTAGTAGTGCGCCTAAAATATGGATGAGAGGCGTATTGTGACGTCCAAAAGTTACTCATCTGTATAAATTAATAAATGTATTGGACTTTAAACTGAAAAAGGTACCGTCACACCACCAACGTCTTTTTACCTTGTTTATAAACAAGATCTCCTCTTTTAAAAGAAGTTGTGGCTGTTGAGCTGTCCCTTTCTTCACCGCCGCTTCAGTGCTAATAAATCGTTTCAGTGATTTACCAAAACAGTAGTACGTGGCGTGCTCCGCTAACTGAATTTAATAAACATATGGATACAGCGAATTCATACAGATTACTAACTTTTGGACGCCACAATATACTGCTCAATATTTTAGCCGTACTGCTAATCTGCTTACCAAATCGAAAACATTTGTATAGCACCGAAAGGCTGGCATCCAGACAAATGTTTATGTCCATCATACAAAGCCTGGTGATTATTGCACATGTACCATATTGTTGCAATTTTATTGCGACAGCCCTGCTCCTTTTTTAAGGAGGAAGATTGTCTCCTGAAACATCCTAAGGCCCTGAAAAAGCTGGGGTCTCCTATGGTCATGTTTGAGCTGAGATGCTGGGTCATACGTCTTACCATGCTCTCTCCTCTGTTTGGCTCAGACGATGGCGTTCCCCGTGCATTGCGCTCAATGTCGCTGACCATGGGAAAGGTATCGGTGCCGCTCTTCACTCATGGAGGCAGAGTTGCAGCCAGCATCCATCACTGGTGGAGCCAGTCCCTCTGACCACCTGATTCTGCCCCCTAGGCCGTGCCTCGGAGGAGAGTCAGTGTGGCCGTGGTTCCCAAATTCAACCTGGTCAGCATCCCAGGCCAGGCTGCTGTCGCTGCCAGACCCATGGTTCCCATACTGGTATGTCCCCACCCTGTCAACTCTGACATTAATCTTGATCTATGATCTCCTGCAGAATACTCACATTGCTAATCTCTGCTCTGATCTAGTGCACCGTGTTGTGGTGTGGTCTGCACGATGCGTCAGCGTGAGGCCAAAGCATCCCCTATGATATTCAAGGCGTTCTGAATATGTGCGTGTATTTCAGTGTGAGGCCAGCGATGTGAAAGTCTGCCCCCCCGCAAGACCTCTACTGCAAGCCACACCTGCCGACAGGTGAGTCTTTGGCACCTGGGCATCACCATTGCTGTTGTACCGCACTGAGGATGCCAGCTTGGAGTCTGGCGGAATCACAAGCTACACACAACCATCTCTTACGGTGCATGTATAGCAGGGATGTGCATCTCCATCACTGAAGCCGACGCGACACATATCTCAGTGCGTTGCCATTAAAGATACATATGAAAGAACTGCTGATGCGATACGATGCGATTCGATTCGACGCAATACAATGCGATGCAAAAGAATATGATGTTATGTGATTCAAAATGATACAGATACAGACATAGTTAAGAGAGGGGGAATCAATCTAAATATAAAATTATTGGTCAAAAATTCTGAGTTTATAAATAATAAAGGAATGGGACTGCAACTAATAATTATATAGTAAAAAGTAGTATTGGTGTAGGGCTGGTGTGTGGATCGGTCATCGGTTCAGACTCTGTCCTGAGTAGAGTGGCATCACTGTTAGGTTCCTTAGCAAGGCCCGTAACCCCAGTTGCAGCAGAGACTGGCTGGCCCTGCTTTCTCGATTGTATGTAGCTTTCCGTAAAAGCACCTGCTAAATGAATTAGTGTAGAATACGAATAATCTGAGGAAGTTTATGGATTTGATGCAGGGGCTGCCTTCTGCATGTCACTGCAAAGCTGGTTATATCCCTCCCCCACCCCCTGCCTCTGATTTCCACACAGGAAGAGGGTGGGGATGGTTCACAGGAAGGCTGGGCTTGGGCAGAAGCCTTCTACTCATGTGCAGCTAACTGATGGAGATTCTGAAGCAGACTGGGTGCATGTGTTTGTCAATCGCCTGGCTCCCATTAGTGCCCGAGGCTCTCATGTGCAGGTTGCTACCTGTCCCACCACAAAACAGGGGCAACTTTGGCTCAGTGAGGTAACCCTCTGTGCCTGTGATCAGAAGGTTGCTGGTTTGAGCCCCAGCCTTAGCAGAATAGTCACATCTGGCCCTTAACCCATCCCCCCCCCCCCCCCCCCCAGCTCCATGGATGTTACTACAGGCAGCTGCCCTTCGCTGCCAAGTTTGTTCTTGCCGACATGTGTGTCATGGAGAGCAAGGTGGAGTAGGCGAAAATAGAATTTCCCTATAGTGATCAATAAAGTATCATTATTCTGTTATACTGAAATTACCCTGTTCCATCTACAAATCCACCAAAGTCCTGTGTACGTGTTTAGGGAGCATTTCCTGACATCCTGGTGTAACCATTCGTGAAACACGACATCAGCACAGTGCCAATGACCTTTATAATGTGTGAGTGCCCTTCCTGATAATGTCACTTCTTAGCGATAACCCTCAGTATCAATGTCCTTCCTCATGCAAAACCACACAGCAGAAAGACCGCAGCCGAACCAGAACAGGAAACATCGCCCCCTGCCAAATCGCCCAGCTCCGCAGAGAAGATTTCCTCGGAGATGAAAGCCAAGATCGAGGAGGAGGCCTACAGTAAGGGGTGGGTGAGGCACCCCTCTATCACCTCCTACCAGCAGGGGGAAATCAGCCCGGAACCAGCTCCTTAGACACCAAACATGAAATTTCTCATTCATCTAGACATTTTCAGCAAATAGTGGTCTTGTAGTCTTTTACCCTGACCCATTTGATGTTGCTAATTTCAGGTTTATGATGGAATAATATAGATTTGCTGTAAGATTTCTTGGTGTGAGTGTCATGTCAGATGCGTGAGAATCAGCAGACTTGATAATCAAGCATCCATTTAATAACCTCCTGGCCTGGTCAGGGCCGTGTGCAAATAAAAATCAATATACTAACATAATATAAGTGAAAATGTATCAGATTTGCTTACTTTGAGGGAAAGGCCCTTGTTGTAGGTGTCCTCATAGAGCTTTTGCCAATGGCCTAACTCAGATACCAGGAGGGATTGAGGAGAGTCAAAGAGATGCAGCAGCTGGAGGAAGAGGAGGAGGCAGAGGAGGAGGAAAAAGCAGAGGAGAGCCAGGAAGTGGTCCGAAAGGAAGAGGAAGACTTGGAGGATAGAACAAGCCACAGGTAACTTCCTGACTGACTGGAAAAGCACAGACAGCAATCAGAGGTGGATAGTTCCAGTCCAGAAAGTAAAAATCTAAACCAAGATTTTGTCCTGAAGCAGACATGGACAAAGGGGCTTGTACTATTGGCCTGTATTGGTCGTGTCACATACGGGGATGGAGCAGGGCTGATTATCAAAATATAGAAATTACAGACGCTCCCCTACTTACGAACGTTCAACTTACGAACTTTCAGACATACGAACGAAGAGGACTGTACTTCCAAATTGTGTTCCTTGGGCTCCCATTTCCTGTCCGCAACATCAATTTTTTTTTTCTGCCCGCCAATCCCGCCTAGTACGACTTCTGGCCGCTACTCCCGCCGCACAGCAGCGTAGCGTGCGTACTCCCAGCATCCTACTTCTTTGTACTTCCGTATACCCTTAAAATGATGAATAACGACTTACGAACATTTCAAACCCGCAGGTCAGACTTAACAATGTTATGGGCCGGCAGTTTGAGAACTCTGTGATAGGTGATGGTAGCTTATCTCATTGCCAAGGTCCTTGCTTTAGATGTTTCCAGAGAGTCTGTTTTGCAGAGACATTGGCATGAAAGTAGCTTCATCATCTTTTGTCTCTCTTCTTATGTTTTTGCAGCAGCAGATTCAATGGTTTCCCGGACGTCTTTGGCCGGCTGCTTCCAAAGGTTCTCAGGCAAAAACGGTTCATTTGGACGGCCATGATAGTCCTGACTCTGCTGGCAGCTGTTTTATTTGCGTTTGGGGCTTTCAGCTACTTCTCTGAAAATCAAAGAGAGTTACCTGGAGTGTCAAGTTTGTCTTCACGCAAGAAGAGGCTTGTGGGGTGGAACTCGGCACTTGAAGATAAGAATGGAAGCCCAGAGTAACAATACTCTGTCAACACCCGCTTAATTAATACTGAGACTATCAGGTGTTGGGAGATGTAATGACCTGTATAGCCTGCATTGTTTCCATGAGACCCCTCAGTTATATGAGTAGGAAAGGACGATGGGTGTGATGAATGATCATTTTAACTGATATGCATGTGAGCATTACGATCTCGTGTCCGTTGACACAGGTGATTTGTTTGTGATGAGGTTCCTACCGCCAGTAATGAAGACAGCGGATACTCCAAGGGAGCAAAGGGGTCACAGGTTCGAATTCTCATGATCGGAAGTCATAACTACCTTTGCTGTACTGGGATTTGATAATAACTTTAAAGAGGTTTATTTTTTGAAGAATTTTGTTTCATTGTTTTGTTAGAATACTTTGTTGGGTGCATGTAGTTCGTGAGGTACTGGAGTGGGTGATTTCTCATCAGTCGTTTATCTTTATTTCAGCTGCTGCCATTGTATGTTTTGTAAGAGTCTCCTGACTGTCCATATAAGAGCCTAATTGCACAATTTATTAATTCCATTCTACGTACTGTAGACAATGACAGCAATTCTTTAAACACAATGCAGGAATCACCCATGTAATGTAAATTAAGCTGTGGCGGCAGAGGATGGTAATAATTTCCTGCTTATTGTCCCCCAGTTACTTAGGCGGGGTAAATGGGTAATTGTATACGTTTAATAAAGTGTTATTGAAAAGCGGTTTTAATAAAATAAGAGTTTTCCCTGCTGACACATGACACCAATTGATTAATTTTCTGTGGATTATGAAGTCCAGTAATAGAAATAATGTAAAACAGAGGCAACTGAGCATGCATTACTATGACTCGTGGGCAAAAGTAACAAGAATATATCACATGCCATCACTTAGCTGCAAATAATGAAAGAAATCAGTATTGGAGGATGTTAATGAAATTGTGAGCAATCTTGGCTGGCTTTAGTGCAGCTGTAGTTTCATTAGCTATAGGTCCAAATACTTGAAGCCACTTCGGTCTGAATGTTTGGCTGTATTTATGATACTGTGCTGTTGAGCAGATCCAGGCATGACAGCAGGAGTCAATGAACCAGGCAATATTAACGGGTAAACGAGGCACTTTTATCATTAGCCTTCAAAGGGACTCTTTTTAATGTGCAACAAGCATGAGCGAATCTTGCTATATGAGCACAAACAATGAGCAAAAACAGATCTCACTAATTAGGCGCTGACCAATGGGGAAACGGCGGGCTGGTCACATGGGACACAACAGGCCGCACATGTGCATTTACATGGCGGCTGAGACACGCAAGGATGGGACCAGGATTACATACAACATAGCTAAGTACAACATGCGACACTCTGGGACACAACACGGCTCCAGCGGTTTCCTCCCAGTCCAAAGACATGCAATCAGGCTAATCCGTGTCTCTAAATTTCCCGTAGTGTACGATTGTGCATGCATGCACTGTGCAGCCTGGGAGAGGCAGGAAAAGAGATGGATGGATTATTCATATATGAACAGAATTATTTCTCTCTACCTTCTGCCTGCTACCCTTTTACTGACAGGCCAGTGCGTCACGTTCTCTTTGCCAGAATCCAGGAGGGTGCGATGCATTCACCACTAATGATGCCTGAGAAAGCCGTTCAAAAATGGTGCCAAATTAACAAGCCCATTGTTTTTGACTATTTATCAGAGCGACGTTTTTACAAAACAAAGTGGCTAGACAGTCAAACATTATTGACACACTAAATGGCTCAACAAGATTAAAAAGCCAAACTGTGCATCTGATGCAACGCGGAGGTCCTACCATATCTGCATCAGACGATGGCCCACATCAGCACCAAAAACAATCACGTAACGTTAAGATAATGCAAACATTAATAAAATACCAAAAAATCTATAAAAATGATTTCTCTGTGTTTTGTGATTTATGTTTGAATTTCTTTGCATTTTTATATTTTGTGTTTTTTTTATTTTTGCCTTTACTTAAATGTTTTGCATTTCCTTAATGCTCTTAAGTATTGTTAATATTTTTATAATGTGTGTCAGGATAATGAAGCATTGTTTTTCACCCAATGAAACCACTGACGAATGCCATTTCATTGTCAGTTTTACCTGGACAGACCACAGATTTAAATCCCGCAAAGCTTGCCAGCATGAAACTTTTCCCCTTGCTTAACTTTGCCATGCTAACTCATGCCAGTCAGCCCTTCTATGTCTCAACTTACAGCAAACATTATTCTCCCTTACAATCGCACAGGGTAGGCCAGCCACCTAGCTAAATTTACAGATTTAATTTGTTCCATTCTTTATAGCTTATTTATAGCTTAGCCATCCTACATATTAAACAAACAATGGTAAACCAGGGGAATTCAAATCCCATATACTGCCCCCCGGTGGCCTGGAGCACTTCTGTTTTGAAAAGGTCAGCTGACCCAGAAGTACAAGACACATTAAGAAAACACATCATTTAAGGTCTAAGCAAAAACAAAAAATAAAAAACTTAAAAAACACAAAAACATAAAAAATGCAAAAACAAAGAGAAAACAAGTGTTTTTGTGTTTTATCAATTTGTTATTAAGGTTTTGAGTGCCTGCTACAGTACGTAAAATCCACACCAACTTTCCAATAACTCCACCATTATCTATGATGCATAAACATCAGGGCTACTTTCTTCCTGCCAGTCCCAATTAGCATACTACACAGGGATGTGTACTTCCTGTTTCTCACTGTGTAGTTCAGTGAAGGAGTACTGGCTGTGCCTGGTAACATAAGTCGTACAGTGGGCTTATCTCCACAACGTCCCTGTCTTGCCTGAGAGGAGGACTGCCCTACTTTCTCCCCAAGCCCTCTAATGCCAAAAGCGACCACGGAGGAACTAGCCTGAACAAGAACATGTGCATCACCATGGCAAACGTCTGGCGCCACTTTATGCTTCTCCTGTGCTTGACCATCTCTGCAAATCTTCTCCAGCTCACTGATTTCAAAGGTAAGAAAAACCCTATTCTGTTCTGGTTTCTCAACATCTATTATATTCATGTGCTCAGGAATATAATAAAGGATTCCATAGACTTAATGCACAGTTATATTTACATTATAAAATTATCTACAAAATAAAATGTATCATATACTATACTTGATGTTCTTGCAGTTTTAATTAACAATATTTTTAATAACTTCAGAAAGTAAGTAATTGTACAGAAAGTAAAATCTACACACAGCATAGAAAAATATTAGCTCATTTAACAATTTTTTATAATGTTTAAAAAATGACAGAGATCTTGCACCTGAGCATACTTATTCCCGCATACTCTGCCTGTGCTTTTCTGCCCAGTTTCCCCAGAAAAAGGCACGGCTGGGGTGTTCCTGCTCTCATCCACCCCCAAAGAGTACGCCCTCAATGCATCTGCAGCCCGGGACATGTGTCAGCTCCTGGGGATGACCTTGGCCAATCGAGCTCATGTGCAAAACGCCCATGCTCATGGTTTGGAGACCTGCAGGTACAGAGGGTTGGGTTGGCTTGAGGTGAACTATGATAAATGCAGCAGTGGATGTGATGAATGCAGAAGTTCCAATGGGAAAGCAGGCCATTGAGACAGAATTATAACAGGATTATAAATTTACCCTTAAACTGGTGGAAGCTTAACAGAGATTCTGTGGCAGTTCAGGTTTGAAAACCTACCAATGAGTTTGAATTATAGTAGCCTGGTTATGAAGAGTGAAAGACGTGAAATTGTAGAAAGTGTGAGGCGGCAGTTACTGCTGCTAAGCCTAAAGGTATGTCAAACACTGCAAATACTGCAATGATGTCACTGACGCTTTAGTACTGAATAGGCTCTGAAACCAAGAGTTACATTGAATATCCTGCACTTAAAAATTTACTTCACAACTTAGAATCATCATACAGGTTGAAGAAGCGTTGATGTAGGTCATCGTGTTGGGTAATGGTCCTCCCCGATCTCCAGCCACATCCAGCAGTTCACCTTCACTGCCCTTATTTTGAACTTTGTATGTATTTCGTGACAGGTACGGATGGATAGAGGAGCGAATTGCTGTTATCCCCCGGGTTACATCTTCCGCCAGTTGTGGTCGCGGTGGTATTGGGGTCATAATTTGGCGAACAGAGGCCAACAGGAATTTCGATGCATTCTGCTTCAACGGAACAGGTCGCCGCATCAATTCATGCATATTTAGCCAGTTGCGTAACTTAAATGACAGGAAGTGCCCTTCTTTGACATCCTGACAGGCCTCAGGGATAGTTTAGGAATTTATGACAGGAAGTGCCCTTCACTGACATCTAAACAGACCTCCGGGTTGTTTAGGCAAAGTGAAAAAACAGGAATCTGGGTAGAGACAATTTGAAAACAATTAAGAAACATAAATAGAATCAATATGGGTGTGTTACCATAGATTAATATCTTTACAAACCTGCCAGTTCAATCTCGTCACTAATGTCAACATGTATATGTGTCCTGCTTTTATTTTGGACAGATCCGAAGGTGCATCTGGCATCCCCAGCAGCAAACATCTCACAAAGGACAGAGTCCTCATCTACTCCCTTGTCCTTACACCCATCTCCTCCACACATCCCCCGTTCCACAACTCTCACCCCTAATGGCTCCACTCCGCTCTTCATCCCCTCTGCCTACTTGTCTACTTCAATACCAGGATGCACAGACACGGCAACGCCCACAATGAGCAGCGACAAGCCGTCAGGTTCCTCACTGGCCCCCCAGACTCTGAGTCTGACCTGCATGCATTTCCTATTCCCAGCATAACATAGAAATATGAGCATGACTCTCTTACATTTGGCTATTTGTGTTTAGATGTTTTCTTGGCTGTACTCATCCTCATCCTTACCGCTGCACTGCTGATGCTAGTTACTGGACTGTTCTACTGCAGAAGGTGAGCGTCGATCATGCCAATTGTCACATAGTCGAAATAAAAATGCGTCAATCCGGATACAGAATGTAGGCGTGCTTATCACACAATGGTTTGTGTATAATCACTTTATATTCTTTCCGTTGGAGAAAGAAAGGGAAGCTGGCCCCAGTTCTGTATGAGGGATCTGCAGAGAGAGAACAAGGACACAGAGGAGCTGAAGCCATCCGGGAAACAGGATGCAGGGGGGGACCGAGTGGAGTTTGAGGTGGATGGGAATTCAAATGACATCAGTCTGTCTGTGGTCCCTGACATGGAGCCCCCGTCACCCTGAGGGCAGCGCAACCTGCAACGGGAAATTTCAGGAACAAAGGAAGTGAAGTTCATTTTTCCAGAACTACAGGAGTGCACAATCAGTGCACAACAAGTGTACTCTAAGTGTAAGCAAGGTCTGAGCTATAGCCGCTGCAACTGCGTGTGATATACGGATTACATTCTTTTTTTCCTGAAGGATTGAAGGATTGTGATCGAGGACTTTACTATTTTAGGTCCAAAGACTGGCCTTGTTGTTGGGCCAGGTACTTAATCTGAATTGTTCCAGTAAATTATACATGTATCAAAGGGCAAATTTGCAAGTTTGGTCTGAGCATCAAAGAAGGAGAATTAACACCAGCTTGGAGTTTCTGTACAGGCCTGTTACTGCAGCTAGAGTGGCAGAAGGACAGTGAGTGGAATGCATGTCTGCTTCACATCACGCCAGAAAATGGCATTTGAAAACTGTTTGGGGTCTACCAGCCAGCCACAGGGAAACATGATTCTGAGGTATACAGCTGCTACGGAGGACATAAAATCACACTCAGAATGTGAGCCTGCACTGTGTTCGGAGCAGATTATAAAGTTCTGGCCTGTACTCATTTCCGCAGCCTGTTTATTAAAAGTTCTGGTTAGATCATTTATATGATTGAAAGTTTCCCATGTAATGGTCCGCTCAGAGACATGGAGATGGCCCAAAAGGCAACTCGCACAGGCAGAGCCTCCTGAGTAGATTTTGAGGATTTGATCTGTGGCAAATTTTGCCGACCGCTCAGTATATTTCACAGACATATATTTTTGGGCCCCTAAGAAGTGCGGGGCCCGTGATTCTGTAAAGGTATCCGGGCCCCTCGGATACCCCTGCATGCAAGTCCCATCCGTGGCAACCAGGTCAGACAGCTGAGCATCCGATGTGAGACGATTTCTGAAGGAATAAAAGCCATGACTCTTCTTTTCTGTAAAGGTCATGTTACTTATGCTGTGCTCCTGAATTTGCATAGAAACTTGATGATGGCCTGACACCACACTGGAGAGATCTGGGGCTGGGATATACTGTCAAAAAACTGTAATCATTTACATCTGCTAGGCTTCTGGGAGAGCAATAAGTTACTTTATTAAGTTTTCAATAAATGTACTGAACAACATGCTGTCCAATTGCCTCTTTAAATACCCACAGCAGAACACTCAGTATTTAACCATAAAATACTACAGACCTGTGAATTGGTTCTGAAGAGCCGGAATTTTGGCCACGGCCTTGTGCAACTCAGCCAGGAAATCCCCAGCTTTGTGTCCTGAGTTTCCGGGGTCCCTCCTGGCTCACCAAGAGCTTGTGTTGGGTAAGAGGTATGAAATCCGGAAAGGAAGACTACCAGTTTTTGCAGTTCTTGAAAAGCAGCAGAGTTAAGGTCAAATGGACCAGAAACAACATGTAGAAATTATGTGTTTTTGAGGAACTAGTCTCTGTGGAAGATTCTGGTAGTTGGCACTGGTCCATCGGTTGGCATGGATACAGTCTGGCAGGTAAAGCATTTTCCATTTTTCGTGGACTGCAGTGTCTATTTAATGTCAAACAGTGCTTATGAACATCAGTCATTTGTCTGAGCAAAGTGGCGTGACAGCCGGCTCGAGTCTAACCATGGGCTGCTCTTAGCAGAGATGCTACAATACATCACAGCTTTAATATTCGGAGGCTACAAAATCAGCCGTCACATAGGCTTTTAAGATAGAGCCGATAATAATGCAGATCCTCTTTGTCACAAACTTCGGTGTGTAACAGTGTATTTTACACTCTCAGTCCCTTTTTTCTCCTTATGACGGAGGGTAGGTTCTTGGTGTGTGCACTACATGGGACACTAATGGTGCGAGCGCCTCATACACTTCTGGTTATCATCTATATATCTGCACCATCTAGCAGTGCATCACCTGCCTCTTAAGGTTACAGCTAATCACACTATGCATTAGAACGTTCTGCACGCCCTCTACAGGATCAGAAATACCTATAATAATATTAAATGAACAAAATTCACATCCACTTTCTGTAACCGCTGATCCTATTCAGGGTCGTGGGGGGGTCCAGGGCAAGGAACAACCCATAATATGGCACACTCACACGCCAGTGGGCAATGTGGTAGCGCCAATTAGCCACAGCTTGTTTTTGGACTGTAAGGAGGAAACCGGAGAACCCAGAGGAAAGTCCACGATGACATGGGGAGAACATGCAAACTGCAGACACGGAACCCTGGTGTGAGGAGATAGTGCTAACCACTGCACTCCTGTGCCTCCATTAAAATATACTGTCATGCTTTTAAGAAATGTAACGAACCGGAACCGATGCATTATTTGCCATTTGTACTGGTACAGATACATAACAATGCAATCCCATTTGGCTCCCCTTTCAGACACACACACACACCCACACACACACACGAGAGCAAGGCTTGGGGTACGAGCACAGGGCCAGCCATTTATCTGACACCCCCGGAGCAATACTGGGGTAACTGAGAACAATGTTCTGGAGCCCAATGAAGATGTGGCTACTCTGTCAATACAGGGTTAAAACCAGCAAGCATCTAACCATGGGCATAAATACCTAACCTGCTGAGCCTCAGACCACCTCACTCCCGAACTCAGGGTTACTTAGAATTTATCCCAAGCTGGGATATGCCTTAAAATGGATGCCAGTCTATCGTAGGGAACAAACACAGCCATACATTACGGGCAACTTAGATACACTAATCATCCTAAATGAATGTTCCTGGAGGTGTGAGGCTACTGAGCCAAGCCGCTTTCTTTGCAACGATATAAGAATTTCAATATTTATCATCTTTCAAGGTGTACTTTGTCAGTAGTTCTATAACTATCCTTATGTGTACACATTTATTATTACAAATAACTTTATTTTCTATTTATTGTTTCCTCAACTGTCGTTTGACACTTGTCTGTATTGTTCAGTGATGCTGCCATTAGGAGTGAGCCAATGCGGGTTCAGCCCTCGAGTCCGAAGGGGCGGGGATTGACTCCCTATTAGTCATGTGACCGATTGGCCCGGAAGCACTCGCTAATGCTCATGCGCTTTTGTTTTGTGCAGGGCGGAAGTAGTTCTGTGCCTCTTCAGTGTGGTCGCGTAGATGGTCTCCGGTACCAGTGCGTAGCAAGTCGCTTTGTGCGGATCCGGGGCTCACACCGCCAAGATGTCTCGGGGGTCTATCGAAATCCCGCTGCGGGACACGGACGAGGTAAGCGCCCTTGTTCGACTGGTTCTTCTGCTCGTAGGCCTTTTCGTGCACGCTAACTCTCCAGTAGCTAATCTCAGCGAAAATGGCGTTGTAGAATATCTGACCGGGAAAGTGTTTTATTAATTCAATTAAAGTGTCCCAAGTATTCATTCGTGATCATACGGTTTACGCGGTTCTTACATTTTAAAAACAGAAGCTGTGCTGGTTGCGCCTTTGTAAGTTACAATGTCAGAGCGGAAGAGAGTTAATGAACTAATTAAGTGGTTTGCTGGATCAGGCGCCTTTAACGTTACTGCCTAGATGTGGTGACAGATGAGGCCAGGATCTCTACTTTGTTCGCCGCTTATGGGTACAGTGCGTATTTTGACACTTGTTCAGTAGAGTAGTTTACACCTGTGAACACCTGTACCCTGGTCAGTTTTTGAATAACCAGTGCAAGCAGAGATAGACACAAGGCGTGATAATCAATCAATCTGGTTATGCCCTTCTATCCATGAAGGATGAAATTCTTCAGTTAAATCTAGCCTAATACATGGAAATCATATATGTAGAAGCACGTAAGGTCCCTTTAAAAGAGTGTATATTAAACAGGAGACGCAACATGTTAAGCCGGTAAATAACCAAATTATACAACAATTTTGCATTAAATCGGTTTGTAGTTTATTTCTATATGTCAGTTTAATTTGTATCTTTCTTGTACTCGAAAGCTCTATCTGTTTAACATTTCTTCTCAGATTTGATTTTCACCCCAATCTTGTTATTTAACCTCAGTTAGTTAAATAAATATAAAGTGATTATTTGTCATTGTTTACACACCGCAGCATACAGTGCACAACAACGAAATGTGTCCTCTGTGTTTAACCCATATGTGACAATGTCACTTAGCAGGGGTACCTCAGTGGTGCCTTGCTGGTCGGGGATTCGAACCTGCAATCTTTCAATTACAAGTGCGCTTCCCTAACCATCAAGCCACCACTACCCTAAATTATTATTATTATTGTAGTCGTTGTTACTATTCTTATACATTTATAAAACACTTTTCAAGAATCCAGAAATCCCTGTACAATAAAATATTTTTCTGTAAGACGGTCGAATGTGTTGAGGATGGCCAGCATGTACACATCTTCATGGCTTCGTTAAATCTGACGCAGGTCATCGAGCTTGACTTCGACCAGCTTCCCGAAGGAGACGAGGTCATCAGCATCCTGAAGCAGGAGCACACGCAGCTTCACATATGGATCGCCTTGGCGGTGAGTCCTGGGGGCCCTTCGGAGGCACAACCATACGGGCAGAAAGACGACGTTGGGGAAAGTACGTCCCGGGTTCGGGGCAGTATTGGTGCCGTTGGACTATGTGCAGCAGGTCTTCAGAGAAGGTTTTGGAACTTTTTTTGAATGTGTGATGTTATTGCACATGTGTGATAAAGGTTTCCTGAAACCATGACAATTAGGAGCTTTGCGCTGTGTCTGTCGTCATCTTGCTACATTGCCATATTTACCTAATACTCTGAAATACCTGGTAACCTCTGTTGTTGATATGATAGAGATGACTCAACAAGCCATTATGGGCAGCATTTTTAATTTTATTGTTGTTTTTTTGAGAAGCTGCAGAAATGTAAAATGGCGGGTCCAGTCTACATTTTCCGTCATGCACCTGTCATTTAGCATGTTTGACAATTGAAGTAGGGACCTTCCATACTTAAAGCATCTGTCTTCCTCAGTTGGAGTACTACAAGCAAGGGAAGACAGAGGACTTCGTAAAGCTCCTCGAGGCGGCCCGCATCGATGGAAATCTGGATTACAGGGACCATGAAAAGGACCAGATGACCTGTTTGGACACCCTTGCAGCCTACTACGTACAACAGGCTCGCAAGGAGAAGAACAAGGATGCCAAGAAGGAGCTGATCACCCAAGCCACCTTACTGTACACCATGGCGGACAAAATCATCATGTACGATCAGGTGAGCTGCTCATTTTCTCTTCCAGAGCCAATGGTATCTTGGGGTGTCAAGTTTTCAGATGAACCTGATTGGTACCCCTAAATTCATCAGAACCACCTGCTGGGTCGAGCCTGCTTCTGTCTGCTGGAGGGAGATAAGATGGACCAAGCTGATGCACAGTTCCACTTCGTTCTCAATCAGTCCACTAATAACATCCCTGCACTTCTTGGCAAGTGGACTAAAGTTTTTAGCCCATACGGTTAAAGATGTCAGTCTATACTGAGTACGAATGATAGGTATAGCATCTTGAATAGTCTCTCTTCACAGGTAAGGCCTGTATCTCCTTTAACAAGAAAGATTACAGAGGAGCTCTGGCCTATTACAAGAAGGCACTTCGCACAAACCCAGGGTGTCCCGGTAAGTTCCACCATGACTCGCGTCAGAGGTCGGGGGCGGTTTCTGTGGGGCCCAACAAAGTGTCTCACCCTGTGATTCTGCCCCCTTTAGCGGAGGTGCGCCTGGGTATGGGTCACTGCTTCGTGAAGCTGAACAAGCTGGAGAAGGCTCGGCTTGCGTTCGGCCGCGCCCTGGAGCTCAACTCCAAGTGCGTGGGTGCCCTGGTGGGGCTGGCTGTGCTGGAGCTCAATAACAAGGAGGCCGACTCCATCAAGAAGGGCGTGCAGCTGCTGTCCCGTGCTTACACCATCGACCCGAGCAACCCCATGGTGCTCAACCACCTGGCCAATCACTTCTTCTTCAAAAAGGTAAAGGGGAAAATGGCTGGGGGGGTGGTTGTTGTTATTGGGCAATGGTCTAAATGGATTATTCATCGCATACTTTCAGATCATATAGATTTAGGGTATTGTTTCTAAGAATTGGAAGTTTTTGTTATATTTTTGTTTCCATTCACAGCTGGCCTTCTTGTTTTGTGACTTGTTTTTCTTGATTTTTTTTCTTTCTTTCTTACTAG